GGACAACTGCGCTATTTGCTTCCACGAATTTGTATTTCTTTTCGATGCGTATGAAGGCCAGTAGTTTATTATATATAATAAGGAAACATATTTTTTTTTAACTCACATTTTAACATTCTGTAAAAATCGCCGTCTAGTAGCGGAGTGAGAGAAAAAATGAGCTTTTTTTAATATAGGATAGTGTGACAAACGAGCACACAGCCCACCTGATGGTAAGTGGTTGCTGTGACCCATAGACATCTACATCTACCCTCAATAAAGCATGAAAATGCAGATGCGTTGTCACCCGTGAGGACTAAGATGGAATGCCTCTTCTCCAGTAAAAAAGGTCTCCGGTTCTCTACACTCACCATATGAAACACAGCAGTGTTAAGCTGTTATTTTACGCTGGTATTCTGTGAGAGCGTGGTCCTTCCCCGGTCGAGCCGACCCATTCGTGCTACAACTGTACAATTAATATAGCTGCAGCATGGCTCTACCACGAGCTACCCCCACTACCCCATATTATCATCTCGTGAGTGTCGTAAGAGGCGGTAGAGGGAAGAAACAGAAGAAGGACAGCAGCATCTTCCTAATAACATGTCAAATTAACAAAATACTGTGGTTACGTACCTACCAATACTCTTGCCAAACGTAGCAACTATGTTGTCAAATAAGGGGGGGGGGGGGGGGGGAATGGGCGATCTAACATCAAACCAAAGGTACCTGCATAATCTTTGACCTATTTTCTACCGACTTCGAAAAGGAGACGGTATTCAATTCGACTCTATGTATTTTTTTATGTGTGTTAAGCCGCGTCTCCACCAAACTTTTGTTGCCAACACAACTATAGATAGATAGAGATATTATGTACTAACGTACTAAAAGTTCAATGGTTTTACCTCATAACTTTTTTCTGGGTCTACCAATTCCGATGATTCTTTTTTGATTTGAAAGCTGGTGCTTCCTGTGTAGTCCCATATAAATTCAATTCATCAAGGTTGGACCAATAGTTTTTGAGTTATTCTTAATAATTTATATTGAAGTCGGTTGTACAAAATATTTAATTTTAAATTTTTTTATGATTCTTTTGATCATACTTATATTCTTTGGCCACATTTGGCCATAACCGCAGTCTTCATCTTGGAACTAATTTCGAAATCATAACAATTAGCAACATTAATTTATCGTTTTAAAAGTTTCAGTGATAGCCTCAGTAGACAGTCTATCGCTGGTTTCTTTTCAAAAGATTAATATGCGTGTCAATGCGCTCAATATTGACCGAGGAATGGGGTAGTGAACAGCATAGAATTATTACGCATAGAAACGCAGTCCAGTACAAAACACGAGCGTTAAAATGATGCAAAGTCATTATGTTAGTGGGCGCGAGTCGAATGTGCCTACGCTCATCACACGCAAACATACACGCCATTCAGTGATACCAGTTTCTGGCGTTTGCAATCAAATTGTGCAAATCACTATTTTTTGATTAATTTTAAAAAATCGATATAATAAAGATAACGTATTACGTAAGACGATTATTTAGTAGAAGTATTTTATGAGAATATAAAATGGAATAAAATAAACACGATAATGATGTTACTAATATAACTTTATTATACATATATTAATGGTAAAAAATGCAGACGTAATAAAATTTAAGAATATTATTAAACAAAATTAATTTGCTCGAATACAATAAGCACATCGTGTAATGTTTAATTTTAACCGACTTCAAAAAGGGAGGAGGTTATCAATTCGGTGTATTTTTTAATGCTTTTTACCTCAGAATTCTACAATTTCTAAAACGATTTAGATTTTTTTATTTGAAAGGATATACACAGATTGATCCAATACACGGGCTGAAATTTTAATGGTTGTTTTCCCGAAGTAAAATGATTTTGCCTTAGTAGTACAATAGATTTATTAAAATAAAATTATTAGGATGTAAAAATGACAGATTTACAATCGAGAAAAACAAAACTCGAATGCGATCTCAAACCAATAGCAATATCTCGCAAGTAGGTCGGGCGTACAGGTTAGCTTATACCGAATTACTATAATAAAGTTTGAAAAAAAATTCGCTGGACGTAATGTAGTGTTACGTATATCGCACGTGCTACCGCGCGCTTCCTACACAGTGAAGGGCCACTAATAAATGTTCATAACATGAACTCTCAAGCGTAGTGATACGACATAAACTAGTTTGGACGCCCGAATAGCTGGTGAGGTATTACTATTGTAAATCTGCTCTTTTTTAATTGTAATATTTTTTAATTTAATAAATTGACTTTACTATCGAGACAATATAATTTGGCTGCGGGACAACAACCACTAAAATTTCAGCACGTATATACGAATTGATCAAGCTTAGAAATCAGTGTACATACATATTGATAACCTTTCTTTTTGGGAGTCGGGTAAAATAGGCTGTTTGGGTCTAACGTAACATCTGGTTAATGTTTGGGTGTAAAATGACATCTGGTTAGTAAAGGCGTTGTTATTAATAATCTCATGATGTAAATTTTGGTTTTATTCTATACTCTAAAACGTAACATTAGTCAATAAAAAAAGCAATTAAAATAAAAAAGTTGCGTTAAAATGGCGTCGACGAATCGCGATTAGCTGATCACTCCGTATTAGTTTTAAATAGGTACCCATTGTTAATATAATGTTAACACTTAGAGAAGTAGGTATCTATATATAAATATTTGAGTTTTACACAGAGCGTTGCGATTAAACGTTTTAATCAAAAATAGAAAATAAATACTTTTTAAAAGAAAATTGTAATCTTTTTTCCCACAACTAGCAACATTTGTATTATACGAGCTTAGGTAAGTATTTTTTTAGTTTTACGTACTTATAATGAATTAAATGTATAAACTTATATGTGAAATGTATACCATCACTTCTTTTATGTTTATCATCACCGTTGTGACAATATTTTACAACACAAACGGTAATTTTTACAAATTTTCGCGAGCTCTTCTCCCTAAGACGTGACGTTGCGCACTGACGCGTCGCTGAGTCAACTAACGCGGTTTCGCGTTAGTTTTACTTGCCTCACTTTCGGTGCGCGTACTAGTATTCTATGCGTAATAATTCTATGGTGAACAGTTATAAAATGGTAAAGATGAAAGCAGACAACAAAGGAAACATTTGAGTGTCGTCGCCACGTTTTTAGTCTCAGACTAACAAAGAAAGGAAGACGGAGGGCTGCGTACGTTTTAGTTGGCGCAAAAATCAAATCAAAACCATGCTCAATTTGTTTTAAGAACACGCACTCAAGTACCTACACATGAATCTAAAATCACTTGTTATAGCACTATATAAACATGGTTTTAGGTTCATAAGTTCAGTAGTAAACTTTTACGGGCTGCTAAAGAATGAAAAAAGAAAGATATAAGATATATGAAGGAACACGTCAAGAAGTCAAGCGTGGTTTTTGTATCACTTGAAATGTATGTACTCCTAGTTGTCGGCCACTTCTCCATTTCTCCTCAACGCAAACCTTCCCATTGCAAGTTTCTCGATGTTTACTTATTTATCTATACAAATAAATAAAATTGAAGTGTCTGTTTGTAATGTCAAAATTACAGTTTTTTACTAAATGCATATGAAAGTAAATACGGTACCTATAACTAAAATACAATTTTTAAAATTTTTGTCTGTCTGTCTGTCTGTTTGTTCCGGGTAATCTCCGAAACGGCTGGACCGATTTTGACAGGACTTTCACTGGCAGATAGCTGATTTCATAAGGAGTAACTTAGGCTTACTTTCATTTTAGAAAAAGAATTAGGGTTCCGCGCAAAAACATAAAAACCCTAACACGCGAACGAAGTCGCGAGGAACAGCTAGTTTAAAATATAAACACAGGTTTCCAACACAAAATATTACTTGGTTCAAACCTGTTTACTTTTTATTTCGCAATTAGTTCAAAATACCAGAATCTTTATAGGTAAATCTAGAGTAATGCCTACGTCTATCTTCTTTTTTTTGGGTCGCAGGCTTTAGTAAAAAGACTGTTCCCAAAATATTCTTTATAAATAATCAAGAAACGTTTGGTTTTGATTGCAACATAAATGAAACAAAATAGGTTGGGTCACAGCAACCACTTACCATCAGGTGGACTGTGTGCTCGTTTGTCACCCTATCCCATATAAAAAAAAAAAACTACAAAATTACAAAGTAATGAAGAAAGTTAAAAAAAAGAAAAAACCAAAGAGGATGTAGTTTCTATGATCTGTGGGAGTGGGATGTAGGTACACATCATAGATATAACACATGTACCTACCTAATTAATCACTACGCTTATTAGACTAATAAATGGACCTTTTAAACCTTTTTTTTTTTGGTAGTCACGTACTTATAATTATATATTTATAGCAAATGTCTTGTCTTATGTACTATCACAGAATAAATGATATGGTACCTACTATTACTATGTAGCCTTTCTTCATTCTTATCCTACTACCCCATTACTATTTTTCTTAAATGTAAGTACCTACCTAATTAATTACGGGAATCGAGAATAGACTTTACGAGAACATGAAGATAGTGGATTACGCACTTCAATTTATATACCCTAACGCTTAGATTATATAAAACTCTAACGTCTATAAAAATATTAATAGTAATCTTATGAAATTATTATGAAATGATTGGAAACCAATGATATAAAATACGTCATTGTTTAAAACACATGATTTTCTTTATTTTTCTCGTAATCAGTCCGATTTGTTGTTTCGTCAGGTTTGTTTTGTTTTGCCTTGCCTGTTTGCGAATTTGCTATTTGCTACGTCACAAAGGAAAACTTCGTGTCTGTTCTAGAATGATCAGATATAGCCGTCGCTTTCCCTTGCACGTAATAGAACGAGATACAGATAAAAGTTCATAAACTTCGGCTTCGGCTTCGGTCTGTTCGGTTCGGGCCTCGGGGTTCATCGTTTCCGTACAATGAACGTTTTTATTGATCGACGTACTTCATGTGTATAAAAACGGTCGACCCTCCTCCCGCACTTGCATTTGCAAGCGATTTGAAAAAGGAACAAGACGTGTGACAAAGTTCGCGTGTGATCATTTTACAATTGATAATTATAATTATTCAAGTTGCTGATTTGGAAATTCTAGTTATTGGATAAATTTTTGTGAATTGGTAAGTACTCTTACATTTCCTTCTAGATTTGAAACAGATATTATATGGTTGTGGTTGAAATGCGTAATTTCCGTGTCATGAACGAACGCCATTTTGTTTGACATGACGTGGGATTTCTGTATTAGTATTAGATTATTATAAGTAAATCATAGTTTTTTTTTTAATGTAATGTAATGTAATAAACCTACTACAGTTTTACGAAATCTAAGAATGACATATTAAAAAAAATACATTCAGTATTTTATGTAGGTCATTTAGTCAATGGTACTTCATTATTATTAAAATTTTAATAACACTTATTATTGCTAAAATGTAAATAAATAAAAATTAAATAAATAATTTGTACAATAACCATTGATTATGACCTAAATATTATCACAGACAATAGACATGGGCGTAGTCTTCATTCTCCTTCTCCGCCATCTTAGGATCTTTTGTTTCGTAGATTTCTTCTGCATTTGAGCAGTATTCTTATAAATTTCAAGTATTGGCCTCAAATCAATAGTGAAATAATAAAATGTGTGTTAATAAGTTATTCATCAAAATATTTCACAATATAACAGAAAACTGCTAATAGAATTTAACTTTTCATTTTTGTCATTCGAGCAAACGAACATCTGCAATAAAACAGATGTAGTAATAAGTTTTATCAATGCTGTCGGGAATAATCCATTTGTAGTATTGGCCTATAACATCCCGGAAGCAATGTTCTAGTCTAGATCTTGTTGTTAGGAAGGACATCACCAACCTAACAATTTGCTATAGATTCCTTTTCTTTGTTAGATTATTAGCGACCAATAATTTTTTTAAAAGGTCAACATCTTTATTGTAAAATCTGTTGTCTTACATCAATATAATATTGTTTTTCTTTTATTTGCAGAACAATATGCAGATTTTTGTGAAGACTTTGACGGGGAAGACCATTACTTTGGAGGTGGAACCTTCAGACACAATTGAGAATGTTAAGGCTAAAATCCAGGACAAGGAAGGCATTCCCCCAGACCAGCAGAGGTTGATCTTTGCCGGTAAACAGCTGGAAGATGGACGCACACTGTCTGACTACAACATTCAAAAGGAATCCACACTTCACTTGGTGCTCCGTTTAAGAGGCGGTATGCAGATCTTTGTCAAGACCTTGACAGGCAAGACTATCACATTAGAGGTGGAGCCTTCAGACACAATTGAGAATGTGAAGGCTAAAATCCAGGACAAGGAAGGCATTCCCCCAGACCAACAGAGGTTGATCTTTGCAGGAAAGCAGCTTGAAGATGGACGCACATTGTCTGACTACAACATACAAAAGGAGTCGACTCTCCATTTAGTATTGCGTCTGAGAGGAGGTATGCAAATCTTTGTAAAGACATTGACGGGCAAGACCATAACTTTGGAAGTTGAACCATCGGACACAATTGAGAATGTAAAAGCAAAAATTCAGGATAAAGAAGGCATTCCTCCAGACCAACAAAGGTTGATTTTTGCCGGCAAACAGCTTGAAGATGGACGCACATTGTCTGACTACAACATTCAAAAAGAATCGACCCTTCATTTAGTATTACGTCTACGAGGTGGAATGCAGATCTTTGTCAAGACCTTGACAGGCAAGACTATCACATTAGAGGTGGAGCCTTCAGACACAATTGAGAATGTTAAAGCTAAAATCCAGGACAAGGAAGGCATTCCCCCAGACCAGCAGAGGTTGATCTTTGCCGGCAAACAGCTTGAAGATGGACGCACACTGTCAGACTACAACATTCAAAAGGAATCCACACTTCACTTGGTGCTCCGTTTAAGAGGCGGTATGCAGATCTTTGTCAAGACCTTGACAGGCAAGACTATTACATTAGAGGTGGAGCCTTCAGACACAATTGAGAATGTGAAGGCTAAAATCCAAGACAAGGAAGGCATTCCCCCAGATCAGCAAAGGTTGATCTTTGCAGGAAAGCAGCTTGAAGACGGACGCACATTGTCTGACTACAACATACAAAAGGAGTCGACTCTCCATTTAGTATTGCGTCTGAGAGGAGGTATGCAAATCTTTGTAAAGACATTGACGGGCAAGACCATAACTTTGGAAGTTGAACCATCGGACACAATTGAGAATGTAAAAGCAAAAATTCAGGATAAAGAAGGCATTCCTCCAGACCAACAAAGGTTGATCTTTGCCGGCAAACAACTGGAAGATGGACGCACCCTTTCAGATTACAATATCCAAAAAGAATCTACCCTACATTTAGTATTACGTCTCAGAGGTGGGATGCAGATCTTTGTGAAGACCTTGACAGGAAAGACCATCACTCTGGAAGTGGAACCATCAGACACAATTGAGAATGTGAAGGCTAAAATTCAGGACAAAGAAGGCATTCCCCCAGACCAACAGCGTCTTATCTTTGCCGGAAAACAATTAGAAGATGGACGCACACTCTCGGATTACAATATCCAAAAAGAATCTACCCTACATTTAGTATTACGTCTCAGAGGTGGGATGCAGATCTTTGTGAAGACCTTGACAGGAAAGACCATCACTCTGGAAGTGGAACCATCAGACACAATTGAGAATGTGAAGGCTAAAATTCAGGACAAAGAAGGCATTCCCCCAGACCAACAGCGTCTTATCTTTGCCGGAAAACAATTAGAAGATGGACGCACACTCTCAGATTACAATATCCAAAAAGAATCAACTCTTCATTTAGTCTTACGTCTGAGAGGGGGTATGCAAATCTTCGTAAAGACATTGACCGGCAAGACCATTACCTTGGAAGTTGAGCCGTCTGACACAATTGAAAATGTAAAAGCAAAAATTCAGGACAAAGAAGGCATTCCCCCAGACCAGCAGAGGTTGATCTTTGCCGGCAAACAGCTTGAAGATGGACGCACACTGTCCGACTACAACATTCAAAAAGAATCAACCCTTCATTTAGTGTTACGTCTCAGAGGTGGGATGCAGATCTTTGTGAAGACCTTGACAGGCAAGACTATCACATTAGAGGTGGAGCCTTCAGACACAATTGAGAATGTGAAGGCTAAAATCCAAGACAAGGAAGGCATTCCCCCAGACCAACAAAGGTTGATCTTTGCTGGCAAACAATTGGAAGATGGACGCACCCTTTCAGATTACAATATCCAAAAAGAATCTACCCTTCATTTAGTATTACGTCTCAGAGGTGGGATGCAGATCTTTGTGAAGACCTTGACAGGAAAGACCATCACTCTGGAAGTGGAACCATCAGACACAATTGAGAATGTGAAGGCTAAAATTCAGGACAAAGAAGGCATTCCCCCAGACCAACAGCGTCTTATCTTTGCCGGAAAACAATTAGAAGATGGACGCACACTCTCAGATTACAATATCCAAAAAGAATCTACCCTACATTTAGTATTACGTCTCAGAGGTGGGATGCAGATCTTTGTGAAGACCTTGACAGGAAAGACCATCACTCTGGAAGTGGAACCATCAGACACAATTGAGAATGTGAAGGCTAAAATTCAGGACAAAGAAGGCATTCCCCCAGACCAACAGCGTCTTATCTTTGCCGGAAAACAATTAGAAGATGGACGCACACTCTCGGATTACAATATCCAAAAAGAATCTACCCTACATTTAGTATTACGTCTCAGAGGTGGGATGCAGATCTTTGTGAAGACCTTGACAGGAAAGACCATCACTCTGGAAGTGGAACCATCAGACACAATTGAGAATGTGAAGGCTAAAATTCAGGACAAAGAAGGCATTCCCCCAGACCAACAGCGTCTTATCTTTGCTGGAAAACAATTAGAAGATGGACGCACTCTTTCAGACTACAATATTCAGAAAGAGTCCACACTTCACCTGGTGCTTCGACTTCGTGGAGGCATGTAAATTATGCTTAGCAGTTTCTTTCTTGCATTCCTTTAATTTCATGTAGTTGAAAACAAATAAAACTGCTTTAGATCTCAAAATATCTTTTATTTTGTCCCACTTTAACAAACAATGTATAGACAAGATGAAAAATAATTAAAAAATCATAATTTAAATGTTAATAACTTGATTTTTGTAGCTTACCTTTCTTGTTAGTTACACTTTTTGGAAATTCTTGTACATTTGAAAACTACTTAAATAATTATGATATAAAATATTAATAACAAACATTATAACAACCTTGTTATATTACAATATAGTATTTTCATACATGTCTATTATTTAAAACTTGAATCGCATTACAATTTGAATATACAGTACCTGATTGATATATTTTAAAAGCATGAAGCTTTGTTTTACTTTTAATGAAATTTTATACCTACATGTTATAAAAGCCTTCATTAATTAATTTTAAAATAGAAAGTTTCAACCACTTAATTGCTCGTAATGCCTTCCATGAAATAATGATCCTACCTAATTATATTTTATTAACTTCCTTCTGCGTAGTATTGAAAGTAAGTTAATGGTTTTAGCTGGCAGTCTGTTAGTCTGTATGCCGACACGATAACTTCCGTTCCACTGGACCGATTGACTTTAAATTTGGTATGTGGATACCTTGAGGTAGTAGCTCGGTCGAGTTTGAATTTGGGTCCTGTTGGTCAAAGGGCACCAGAGGTATGGAATTTACGCAGAAGGAAGTTGTTTTTCTTGAATTTACATTCAACTCGTTTTAGTATCATTTTTAGTTATATTCCTTAGTATCATTTTTAAAATTTGATCCTAGCCTATTTATTTATTTAATTCAGAAACTTGTGGCTTACAGAAAATCTAAAACGCACAACGTTTTTACATCACTGACCTCTATATATTTCTATACAGTGATTTACATGCAAAAAAATTAATAGTTATAAATTAAATAATTATAATATAATGGTACTTAATATGAATCTCGAAGCTTTTAGTGAGTCCGTGTCAAGAAATTACAGCAGTAAAGCCAATTGATACAAAATATTAATGATTGTACAATATTTATAAATAGAGAAAGGTCATAAAATGTCAGTCGGTGAAATAATTTGTCAATGAAAGCTAATTACAATCCTAATATGCCCTTAAAATTACATAATTGCAAAGTAATATTACATTGTTACAATGAACTTAAAGTCTAATTATTCTCGTATTATCAATAATTTTATAAAAAAGAGTCAGCAGACGTGTCATCACTGTTTGCAAATATGTCAATTTCATTGTGCTGAGTATGTCCCCTAGTGATCTCGAATTGTCACCACTAGGACTTTGTTAAAGGTAGCTTGTAGTTACATATTACTTAAATCGATAAAATTCACAGTATGAAGTCCGTTTTAATAGTCTTCATCCTTACAGCCTACCACAAGTCCACAGCTGAACATATGACTGAACGCCATTAAGGACGTTACTGAGCCACCTGCATCCATCGACTTCTTGCATTTCTTACCAGGTTGTCACTCCATGTAGTGGAAAGCCGCCATTAATTTTGTTTTTTTATATAGGACAAGGTAACAAACAAGCACACAGTCCACCTGATGGTAAGTGGTTGCTGTGGCCCATAGACATCTACATCTATTCTCAATAAAGAATCAAAATGCAGATGCGTTGTCACCCGTGAGGACTAAGATGGAATACCTCTTTTCCAGTAAAAGAGTCTCCGGTTCTCTACACTCACCAAATGAAACACAGCAGCATTAAGCTGCTATTTTACGCTGGTATTCTGTGTGAGCGTGGTCCTTCCCCGGTCGAGCCGACCCATTCGTGCTACAACTATACTACTAATATAGCTGCGGCATGGCTCTACCACGTAAATGTCGTTACCGGTACAAGGCTGCCACTCGAGAATCCCTTCTTCCCCATCAGTTCTCGAACTTTTAATTTAATGGAGTTGCCACTTGTAATTAAAATTAAAGCAGCCTTAATAAACCTGGATGGTCTAAGATTCGTGCATTGACTTTAAGAGTTCCGCCTCTACAAAGACAGCTCGCAATATCAATGCTTGGTTTGGAGAAGATTATGACTAAAAGATACGCGATATTTTAATGGATTTGAATGATTCTTTTTTTTAAATATAAGTACCAAGGCTGGTCTCATTTGAATTTGAAGGAAAATACATCTCAGTGGTGTAAAATAGGGGATTAAAATTTTAATGTACCGGATATACATGTGGCATTCTAGTTATCACCTTGAACTTGTATTTTCATGTAGTCCTCTCAAAAGGGTCAAAATAATTAAACTTTTTAAAAGGTAAAATTCGACTCCAAAAAGAATTTAATAATATATTAATTGTCCTGTCTACTCCACATAGCTCATTGCTAATGTCTTACCATTTGTCTTCTGTGTTCTGTTGTGCCTGAAAATCGGTAGTCTTATAATTATAACTTAAGAAAAAGTAAAAACCGACATCAAATTGCTAAAAAAGAAGTTATTTATTTGCTACCCTTAGGGGTAAAATTTTTACTCCAAATTTATATGGGACTACTCTTAAAGTATAACCTATTTAATAAAAAAATAATCATTAAAATTGGTTCAAAAGCTGCCAAGATATCGCGTAACATACATACAAAAAAACAGACTCGAATTGAGAACCTCCTCCTTTTTGAAGTCGGTTAAAAATATTCATTACCTACCGATGATCATCGTCATCGTACTGACTTCAGAAGCAACTAGGATTATGTGGAAATTATTTTCTTTTAAGGTTTTTTTTTTCTGTTACCTCTATTAAAGTTTATTATTGCTAATCTGAATAGAATTACATAAAACACAACTTTAAAAAAAAACAAGTCTCGCAACTGAGTTCTTCTACCGTAAAAAGTTGTGAAGATCCATGTAATACCAAGTCGGCTAATTTATTCAGTCTTCTTCTGCAACGCCGTCTTAGGCCATACCGGGGCCCTTGGGCACACAAGAATTTGGGACCCTGTTGTAAAGTAAAAAAAAGTGAATGACAAAAACATTTTTCTGCTATATGACCTTATATTTATTATAGTTAATTCGTATTAATTACTTAATTATTTTGGTGTTTTGAATTGGTTACCATTACGACAGTAGATTCTTTCAGGATTTCTGTTGTGCAAAATCTATTATATCTTCAAAGCCTATTTTTTGAAGGATATCACTTTATATACACATATTTATTGACTAATTTGTTAGTCGTTCTTGTAAAATAGTTTAACGTAATTCATTTTTTATTATTTTTAGTTGTGATTATGAGCGCTCTCCACTACAATTGGTAACCATTAAGCAAAGGAACAGTTTCTTCTAATTTATCGGCCTTTGTTAGTTTATGCAACTTAGCCTTACATATTCAAATCCACAGATTCCTTTGCTATGTTCTTTAAATATTGCTCAAAATAAAACATTCCGATTTGAGCTCATATGCATTAATGTCTTCATGATAGTATTCTTCAAATTCATCGCATTTTGTCAATTCATCAGAATCGATTGTTATTGATAAAGAAAACTAAAACGATTGTAAAAATGTATCGATTACAAGAAATAAACGTATCTACACGAAATTTTTCTTTACCATTTAACTGTAGCCTCAGACAATCCTTCAAAAAAAGTAACGCGTGTGCTGCGAATTCTTTTTCTTCCAGACTTATCTTTATAGTCAGTATTTGGATTTTTTCTTCGTTCCATTCGTACTGATTGAAATTATTACGTGTGTTATTCACATAATTGATCAGAGATGCGTAAAGTTTTGTTGCGACGTCCATGGTCATAGTGCTATTCTGTAAACTTAAGCTGGCTTTGTTCATAATTCCCAAAAAGTCATTCCATATCTCCGTTAAAAGTATAGTATTCATATCTCCATTTCTTTTGCTAGGCTTTGGGCTTCTTTTCTTGTTTCGCTTGGTTGATTGATGTCACTTGCAATTTAGGACAAAGCTTCAGAAAAAAATACGTGTTTCAAAAAATTTTAAAATGATATCTGCTATACATTCTGCACAATGTTTATCCATAGGCAAAAAATGCAAAAATCTCTCTATAGGCTCTCCGACTTTTACGTATCTAACGATAAAGATTAGCTTTGACAATTGTTTTTAAAACTTGCTGTTTGCATTAAATTAATAAACACATTGCAAATATTTGCAGAAAAATATGATGTAGGTTCTTCCTTTTCCACGGTTTCCGCAGTTTCGTATATGATCAGCAAGAAAAAGATCAAATTCACTAATCAATTCTAGGCATCTTCAATAATCCCCGTTATTTTGAAATCCCAATATCTCATTATCACCACGAAAAGCAAGATCTCTAGAAGTTAAAAATTTCAATGCTGCAACAATTATTCTTCTAAGTACATTCTTCCAATACAGTTACTTCTGTATTGAGATATTGATATTAATAAAGTAACTAACTGTCAACTCCGCCAGTATTTTTGCTTCTTGCTCTCAATTAATAAGTTACTTATATGCCTCCAATCTTTATATTCATTCGGAGAACTCAAATTATGTCCAGTACCAGTAGTAGCATGAAATATTCGGCAGCAATAGCAGTACACAGATTTCTTTGACGGTGAATAAAGGAGCCATTTTCTTTCTAGACTTTTGACGTGGTAGAGCCTTGGTGCAGCTATATTAATAGTATAGTTGTAGTACGAATGGGTCGGCTCGACCGGGGAAGGACCACGCTCTCACAGAATACCATCGTAAAATAGCAGCTTAACGCTACTGTGTTTCGTATGGTAAGTGTAGAGAACCGAAAACCTATTTTACTGGAAAAGAGGCATTCTATATTAGTCCTCACGCCTGACAACGCATCTGCATTTTAATTCGCAAACGAAGATAGATGTAGATGTCTATGGGCCACATCAAGCACTTACCATCACGTGGACTGTGTGCTCGTTTGTCACCATTATTCTATAAAAAAAGAACTCACCATTCGTCATTTTACGGGTATAAAAATATTTATAGTTAAATATCTATT